ATATATATGTGTGTGTGTATAATCAATATATATATATATATATATATATATATATATATATATATATATATATACACACTCACTGGCCACTTTATTAGGTACCCCATGCCAGTAACGGGTTGGACCCCCTTTTGCCTTCAGAACTGCCTCAATTCTTCGTGGCATAGATTCAACAAGGTGCTGGAAGCATTCCTCAGGGAGTTTGGTCCATATTGACATGATGGCATCACACAGTTGCCGCAGATTTGTCGGCTGCACATCCATGATGCGAATCTCCCGTTCCACCACATCCCAAAGATGCTCTATTGGGTTGAGATCTGGTGACTGTGGAGGCCATTTTAGTACAGTGAACTCATTGTCATGTTCAAGAAACCAATTTGAAATGATTAGAGCTTTGTGACATGGTGGAAGTAGCCATCAGAGGATGGGTACATGGTGGCCATAAAGGGATGGACATGGTCAGAAACAATGCTCAGGTAGGCCGTGGCATTTAAACGATGCCCAATTGGCACTAAGGGGCCTAAAGTGTGCCAGGAAAACATCCCCCACACCATTACACCACCACCACCAGCCTGCACAGTGGTAACAAGGCATGATGGTTCCATGTTCTCATTCTGTTTACGCCAAATTCTGACTCTAACATCTGAATGTCTCAACAGAAATTGAGACTCATCAGACCAGGCAACATTTTTCCAGTCTTCAACTGTTCAATTTTGGTGAGCTCTTGCAAATTGTAGCCTCTTTTTCCTATTTGTAGTGGAGATGAGTGGTACCCGGTGGAGTCTTCTGCTGTTGTAGCCCATCCGCCTCAAGGTTGTGCGTGTTGTGGCTTCACAAATGCTTTGCTGCATACCTCGGTTGTAACGAGTGGTTATTTCAGTCACTGTTGCCCTTCTATCAGCTCGAACCAGTCTGGCCATTCTCCTCTGACCTCTGGCATCAACAAGGCATTTCCGCCCACAGAACTGCCGCTCACTGGATGTTTTTTCTTTTTCGGACCATTCTCTGTAAACCCTAGAGATGGTTGTGCGTGAAAATCCCAGTAGATTAGCAGTTTCTGAAATACTCAGACCAGCCCTTCTGGCACCAACAATCATGCCACGTTCAAAGTCACTCAAATCACCTTTCTTCCCCATACTGATGCTCGGTTTGAACTGCAGGAGATTGTCTTGACCATGTCTACATGCCTAAATGCACTGAGTTGCCGCCATGTGATTGGCTGCTTAGAAATTAAGTGTTAACGAGCAGTTGGACAGGTGTACCTAATAAAGTGGCCATACACTCACCGGCCACTTTATTAGGTACCCCATGCTAGTAACGGGTTGGACCCCCTTTTGCCTTCAGAACTGCCTCAATTCTTCGTGGCATAGATTCAACAAGGTGCTGGAAGCATTCCTCAGGGAGTTTGGTCCATATTGACATGATGGCATCACACAGTTGCCGCAGATTTGTCGGCTGCACATCCATGATGCGAATCTCCCGTTCCACCACATCCAAAAGATGCTCTATTGGGTTGAGATCTGGTGACTGTGGAGGCCATTTTAGTACAGTGAACTCATTGTCATGTTCAAGAAACCAATTTGAAATGATTAGAGCTTTGTGACATGGTGGAAGTAGCCATCAGAGGATGGGTACATGGTGGCCATAAAGGGATGGACATGGTCAGAAACAATGCTCAGGTAGGCCGTGGCATTTAAACGATGCCCAATTGGCACTAAGGGGCCTAAAGTGTGCCAGGAAAACATCCCCCACACCATAACACCACCACCACCAGCCTGCACAGTGGTAACAAGGCATGATGGTTCCATGTTCTCATTCTGTTTACGCCAAATTCTGACTCTAACATCTGAATGTCTCAACAGAAATTGAGACTCATCAGACCAGGCAACATTTTTCCAGTCTTCAACTGTTCAATTTTGGTGAGCTCTTGCAAATTGTAGCCTCTTTTTCCTATTTGTAGTGGAGATGAGTGGTACCCGGTGGAGTCTTCTGCTGTTGTAGCCCATCCGCCTCAAGGTTGTGCGTGTTGTGGCTTCACAAATGCTTTGCTGCATACCTCGGTTGTAACGAGTGGTTATTTCAGTCACTGTTGCCCTTCTATCAGCTCGAACCAGTCTGGCCATTCTCCTCTGACCTCTGGCATCAACAAGGCATTTCCGCCCACAGAACTGCCGCTCACTGGATGTTTTTTCTTTTTCGGACCATTCTCTGTAAACCCTAGAGATGATTGTGCGTGAGAATCCCAGTAGATTAGCAGTTTCTGAAATACTCAGACCAGCCCTTCTGGCACCAACAATCATGCCACGTTCAAAGTCACTCAAATCAACTTTCTTCCCCATACTGATGCTCGGTTTGAACTGCAGGAGATTGTCTTGACCATGTCTACATGTCTAAATGCACTGAGTTGCCGCCATGTGATTGGCTGCTTAGAAATTAAGTGTTAACGAGCAGTTGGACAGGTGTACCTAATAAAGTGGCCGGTGAGTGTATATATATGTGTGTGTGTGTGTGTGTGTGTGTGTGTGTGTGTGTGTGTGTGTGTGTGTGTGTGTATAATCAAAATATAAATGAAAGTCAAAAGCACATTTTTAGTCATACCTGGAAACAAATCCTGGTCAAATAGGTTATATGGGTCATTCTATAGAATTGGTTCAAAGTTAGAGTTGGAAACATCTTGAAAAGAAAATTATTTTTCCATATAATGTATTATTTTTTAAAGTAGGCCAATAGATTTTATCATAGGCTACATATTTCAAAGTTAAGGATTCATTATTTTGATATTGCTTGCATTGGATAACAGTGCAACAGTGCAGGATAACAATTCGTTTATTTTTGACAAAACATACTATATATTTAACATATTAGCAGAAACTGTCTAACAAAAGCTTATTTGATGTCTATTTTATAGTAAATACAGTAAAAACTTTATCTGTTCGTTCATTCGTTCACACACCCAGACACCCGATTCATATTTAAACATATTTAAAAACGTCTTTCTGGTTTTACAGATACTATTCTATATCGCGATTAGAACAAATCTCAGTAGGCTATAGCAATATAGTTTGGATGTGTTCATGTAAAATAATGTTTACTAATGTAGGAGCGAGAGTGAATGAACGGCACAGCGTGCCTGTGAATTCATCCATTGATTCACACAAAGACACGCATTTTATATTTAAACAGTCTTTGTGCAGTTTACAGACACTATTCAATAACGCGATTAGAACAAAGCACTTAAGAATAAATGACTTACTACATCAGTTTAATCCGTGCTCCTCGAAATGAAACAGCACTTCTGAGGTAACTTTTCCAAGATTTTTATAGATGGTATTATTCCTCACTGCGCAGCAAGACGAGGTAAATGTAAGATTTGTCTTAAACTGGATGTTTTATCCAGCTGATGTTTTCATGGCTTGCCTCAACATTAGCGTTTGAATAGCGTGCGCTCTCAGTGGGCGTGGTCACATTACGCAATAATTAGGTGAAAGGAAAAAGACTGACATCTCTCTCTATTCATACAGATTACATCAACTGAGAATAGTTGTTTTTTATATAAATTACTTCATTACTTCATTCAGCTTCATAAAGAGAAATCTTTCGTGTCTCTGTGACTAGTATTTACTTAGTTACAGTTCATTTTTCGGACGTGTTTCAGAATATACTCCACTGACAGAGAAAACGCACATCATGTTTATTTTTCTTTATTTGACAAAAAGCAGAACACTTTGTTTTTATTGTGAGTATGCACACTTAACAGGATCTAATGGTGTATAACACTTAGGTCCAATCAATGGCACAGTAAACCAGCCCAATCTCTTCCATCTCAGATATGGGTATTACTTTATTTTATTTTTATTCTAAACTGTTTTAATTATTCTTATTATTTTGATTATTTTAATTTCCTTCTATGTAAAGCACTTTGAATTACCATTGTGCATGAAATGTGCTATATAAATAAACTTGCCTTGCCTTGCCTAAGAAGAATGGCATCTACGCTAATATCAGTCTTTCCATTTATTCCGAGGTTAACTGAAGTCAGCCGGATCCGCGCCGTATCCAGATCAGATTGTGGACCTGCGCCTGTACACGACCACAACACAGTCATGAAGTGCCAACCTCATCAGCCCTGTGAAGGCCTCATGGACACCTCAACAAACTCGTCTCCATACCGGCGTGATGACTCCGACCTCCAACCAGAGGCAACTGGATAATATTCTGAATGTTCTGATCCAATCTGACTTCTGACCTGAAATGCTGCCTGAGTCATAATCATACACTGTTCTTTCGTTGGCCAGAGGAGAACTGGCGCCCGACTGAGTCTGTGTTCTCCCAAGGTTTTTTTCTCCATTCTGTCACCTGATGGAGTTTTGGTTCCTTGCCACTGTCGCCTTGGCTTTTGGCTTGCTTAGTTGGGGACATTAAATATTCAACAATATTATTGATCTGCCTTACTTCAGATGGACTATGACACAATTTTCTAGTGGACAAGAACAAACTTGTATTTATTTTCATGTTATCACTGTGAAGCTGCTTTGATACAATCTGTATTGTAAAAAGCGCTATATAAATATAGATGACTTGACATTATGACTTAAAGAACCGTATTATTTACTCAACTGTGGCAGAAACGGGCTTCCATACGATGACGGTAACGAAAGGAGATTAGTCAAAGTAAAAAGTATTTATATGCCTTAATGTAGCAAAGTTTTTAAAACTTAAAATTTTAAAACAAATTAAAATACAATATATATATATATATATATATATATATATATATATATATATATATATATATATAAATATATATATATATATATATTGTATTTTAATTTGTTTTAAAATTTTAAGTTAAGTTTCTATATATATATATATATATATATATTTTTTTTTTTACCCCATACAATACCAAATAATTTTTACTTAGTTACTTTAAACCACTGACCATAATACCAAGACACTGGGTAAAATTCATATGTTTTCTAGAAATGTTATCAAAATACCTGAGATCAATCTGTGCATCTCCACTCTTAAAATGCACTGGCCGATCCATAGACACGTCACTCCTCATTGACACACAGCTGGGCTCTGGTTCTGGTCTCCTGTGATAAACACTACAGAACAGATTGATTATTTTATGAGGAGGCAAGTCTTTTTTTTTGTTTTTTTTTTAAAATAAAATTTTCTTTTTAAAATGAACAAAATCCTTTTACCATCTTCTATTACTCGAAGCTGATTTATAGTGATTATTACCTGCTTCCTGGAGAAAAAAAATGAATCTCTGAAAGTTTGTGTGTCATCATCCATGGTGAAGCTGAACAGTTAACATAATCTGATATTCACCACTGACTCTGGATGGAAATGACAAACAAACACAAAAATTCAACTGAATGAATCACGAAACCGTCTGAATAGGTTCACTCAAATTTACAATGTTAGTGATAGAACAAACATAAATGCTAAATTAGTCCACAGACAACACGAAAAACCAATGAAACCATTTACAGTTGTTTAAAAATCTGCAAACGAGGAACTCCCGCACACTATCAGAACTTGCATGTAACAATTTATTATTAACATTTATTATTATTAATATTATTATTATTTATTAGCAACGATTCGTTTTTTTGCATTCACATTTTGTGTATGCAAGTTCTGATAGTGTGCAGGAGTTTTTGGTCATTTTTTCCTACGCACCTATTATCTGCAGCTCTGCGCTGTCTTTTTGTTTAGTTGATTAAAAATGAAAAATATCAAAAGCATATCAAAGAACTAATGCTTCCTTTAGGGAAAATGAACACGGATGTCACCTGCAAAGCGTCTTGAGACCTAAACACTCACCTTAATCAACATTTATCTACATACAGATATATTCCCAAAATCCACCAAATTTTCCATCAAGTAAGCTACCCTTAAATTCATTTTAAAGGTTTCTATGAAGCACTCTTATAGTCCGTAATGTAAAAAAAAATCAATTATGGCTGTTAAAATGGCGAAACACTATGAACATTTACTTTCATTTTTTATTTGTGACAGAAAGCAATGATGACATGTTACGCGGGCGATAGGCTACGTGAACAGGCTCGTTTGAGACGCACCCTAGACCAGTGGTTCTCAACTCCAGTCCTCGGGATCCACTGCTCTGCACATTTTGTATGTCTCTCTTATCTGACACACTCAGTTCAGTTCATAGAGTCTATCCTAACGAGCTGAGGATCTGAATCAGGTGTGTTAAATAAGGGAGACATACATAATGTGCAGAGCAGTGGGTCCCGAGGACTGGAGTTGAGAACCACTGCCCTAGACTGTAAAAAAAAACACAAAAAAAACAGCCTAGCCTGGAATTAAGATGAGACCGCTGCAGTGAGGGGAGGAGTGAAACAAGTGCAGGTCAGCAGGTGAGATGGATAGATTTCTCCTGTATAATATTCTCCTGTCTCTCCGCGCCGCATCGAGATAAAAACATCTCAACTTTTCAGAATGCCGCCGGAGCGCCTCCGCCCTAGCGCTTTTGAAAAAGGAGAACGCGGCGCGCCTAGCGTTTTCTACGCTTTTTTTTTTTTTTTTTTTCGCTATAGGGACGTCCCGCGTGACACTCTAATGCTGCGTTCCAGGCAGGTTTTTTAGCACGTAAATCACGACTTCAAACCACGACTCACGACTTTGTAGCATTCCAGGCCAGTCACGCCAAACTACCTGAGCGCAACATACATACTTATTTTTTCAGACACATATCATTGTAATACACAATCGTGTGTGTATATACATACTTATTGTTTCAGACACATAACATTGTAATACATAATCTTGTGTGTATTATTATCATTATTATTATATTATTATTAATTTGACTGCAACGTTATATTGTCCTAAAGTGTATTCTCACTGTGTACCGCCTGCAGAAACACTGCATCCGTAGGGGCTGCCATTGTTGTTTTGTATGGTTTTGCGGGCTATGTGACGTCAGAACTCGTAACTGGGAGTACATCGATCTAGTACGAGTTCACGGGTGGGAAGTCACGGGTTTGACTGCCGTTCCAGTGCACTTTCACGGGTATAAGGTTGGAAAAACACGGGTTACAGGTTGCCTGGAACGCGGCATAAGTCACACTTTAAGCTCTAGTTCACGCTAAGGAACCGAGAGTTGTCATCCAGTCTCTTTGGTAGAGAGAGAGAGAGAGAGAGAGAGAGAGATGAGAGAGAGAGAGAGAGAGAGAGAGAGAGAGAGAGAGAGAGAGAGAGAGAGAGAGAGAGAGAGAGAGAGAGAGAGAGAGAGAGAGAGAGAGAGAGAGAGAGAGAGACGAGGAAAACAAACAAACATGCAACTGGAAGTTATCGCGGCCAGAAAAAATTTAGAGCTCATTTTTTTTATCGTGCGATTAATTGATTTATTGACAGGCCTAGTTCAGATGTTCTCGTTTATTATCTTATTCATAAGTGTTTATAAAAACCTTGCACGAACACTCAGTCACATAATCATTATTCAGATCACCACTAGGGGGGGCTTGAGATCATCATGGGGGGGCTAGGCAAACATTTAAGAGAAGCAGAAACCCTGTAGCGTATTAATATATATCAAACACAGAGCGTTACACCTATGGTTTCATTTGGATATAAAAAATAAAATAAAAAAAAACATCTCTTTCCACAAAGAAAACCTTCCTGACAAACCAAAAACAAACCTTAAAAAAGGCTAGTTTTGGGAATGTTCAGTCTGAGACTGTGTAGGGAAAGGGGAATAGTTCGCTGGGTTACTCCTGTACCTCCATTGGCTCCTTTCCTCAGTTGTTTGTAATTGTCGGCTTGCTGCTGCACCAGATCCAGGATGGTTTTGGAGAGAGTGGCGTCGGCCAGAGGATAAGCTTTAGGATTGACGTCCGTCTCCGCCTGGAAGAGGACAGCATTAACAGCTGAGTGTGCCAGCGCTCTACTGTTTGAGCTACAGCATTACACCTTTGTGTAATGGAGTTTTTGGAAAATGATCTTAAATTATTATAAAAAAATCTGTATTCATATGTATTAATCATGTTGATAACAACAATATTTGTAAATAAATAAAAAAAAAGCAAATTAATCATGTCAATTTCCCGCACCTGTCTTGGACGTCCAAATGAGGTCCAAAAAAATTGACCTAATATGGTCAAATTTTGAACGTCAATATGACGTCCAAATTGGGTCATGGTTGGATGTCCAAATAGTGGACCTAGTTTGGACGTCGAATAGTCCAGAATTGGTCATGGACTGACGGACCCAAAGTAGTATCAACCAGAAACCACCTGTCAAAAATGATTGATTGACAGGTGGGCACGGCTATCTTTTGATCTTGTCCCGCCCCTTCCGGTCCCGCCCCTTGTCCCACCTCTTCCGGTCCCACCCCTTCCTGTTACCTTTGACCCAGTTCCGCCCCTTCCTGTTACCTTTGACCTAGTTTCCGCCCCTTCCGGTTAAACTTTCTGTCAAAATGATGGATGGTTACCTTTGACCTAGTTCCACCCCTTGCGGTTACACTTTGTCAAAATGATGGATGTGTGACAGATAGTTTGATCGTTTGAAGTTAGTTTGATCAAGAAAAAGGGGCGTATAGGATGTGTGACAGTTAGTTTGATCGTTTGAAGTTAGTTTGATCAAGAAAAAGGGGCGTATAGGATGTGTGAGAGTTAGTTTGATCGTTTGAAGTTAGTTTGATCAAGAAAAAGGGGCGTATAGGATGTGTGACAGATAGTTTGATCGTTTGAAGTTAGTTTGATCAAGAAAAAGGGGCGTATAGGATGTGTGACAGTTAGTTTGATCGTTTGAAGTTAGTTTGATCAAGAAAAAGGGGCGTATAGGATGTGTGAGAGTTAGTTTGATCGTTTGAAGTTAGTTTGATCAAGAAAAAGGGGCGTATAGGATGTGTGACAGATAGTTTGATCGTTTGAAGTTAGTTTGATCAAGAAAAAGGGGCGTATAGGATGTGTGACAGTTAGTTTGATCGTTTGAAGTTAGTTTGATCAAGAAAAAGGGGCGTATAGGATGTGTGACAGATAGTTTGATCGTTTGAAGTTAGTTTGATCAAGAAAAAGGGGCGTATAGGATGTGTGAGAGTTAGTTTGATCGTTTGAAGTTAGTTTGATCAAGAAAAAGGGGCGTATAGGATGTGTGAGAGTTAGTTTGATCGTTTGAAGTTAGTTTGATCAAGAAAAAGGGGCGTATAGGATGTGTGAGAGTTAGTTTGATCGTTTGAAGTTAGTTTGATCAAGAAAAAGGGGCGTATAGGATGTGTGACAGATAGTTTGATCGTTTGAAGTTAGTTTGATCAAGAAAAAGGGGCGTATAGGATGTGTGAGAGTTAGTTTGATCGTTTGAAGTTAGTTTGATCAAGAAAAAGGGGCGTATAGGATGTGTGAGAGTTAGTTTGATCGTTTGAAGTTAGTTTGATCAAGAAAAAGGGGCGTATAGGATGTGTGAGAGTTAGTTTGATCGTTTGAAGTTAGTTTGATCAAGAAAAAGGGGCGTATAGGATGTGTGACAGATAGTTTGATCGTTTGAAGTTAGTTTGATCAAGAAAAAGGGGCGTATAGGATGTGTGACAGTTAGTTTGATCGTTTGAAGTTAGTTTGATCAAGAAAAAGGGGCGTATAGGATGTGTGACAGATAGTTTGATCGTTTGAAGTTAGTTTGATCAAGAAAAAGGGGCGTATAGGATGTGTGAGAGTTAGTTTGATCGTTTGAAGTTAGTTTGATCAAGAAAAAGGGGCGTATAGGATGTGTGACAGTTAGTTTGATCGTTTGAAGTTAGTTTGATCAAGAAAAAGGGGCGTATAGGATGTGTGAGAGTTAGTTTGATCGTTTGAAGTTAGTTTGATCAAGAAAAAGGGGCGTATAGGATGTGTGACAGATAGTTTGATCGTTTGAAGTTAGTTTGATCAAGAAAAAGGGGCGTATAGGATGTGTGACAGTTAGTTTGATCGTTTGAAGTTAGTTTGATCAAGAAAAAGGGGCGTATAGGATGTGTGACAGTTAGTTTGATCGTTTGAAGTTAGTTTGATCAAGAAAAAGGGGCGTATAGGATGTGTGAGAGTTAGTTTGATCGTTTGAAGTTAGTTTGATCAAGAAAAAGGGGCGTATAGGATGTGTGACAGATAGTTTGTGATGTATTGGCTTTGATGATGACAGTTAGTTTGATCGTTTGAAGTTGGTGTTTTGTCACCGCATCCCCTCCATAACCCTGAGCTTTATCACGGGCAGCTGTGAAAGTGATAAGAAAAAAAATGTAGAACTATTCACTGAACCAAGCATTTCAGTTTAAATAAAATGGTGGAAGTTTATCTGTTCTTTAAAAGAATATAAAATAAAACTTACTAAAACCTCACACAAAAAGTTTACATAAAATGGAGCCACAAAAAAATTGCAAACAGTTAAAAATGTATTAGAGTTGAAGAAAAAAAAAACATACAGCTTATGAAACAATGTATGAATGATCTGACACTGCCTCAAAAAACATAGGGAGCGCGCGTCTATGTGTGTGTGTGTGTGTGTGTGTGTGT